CAAAACAATAGAAAAATTATCGGGAATATCGAAGGAAAAATTCTTTACCACAGCAGCACAATAAAACCGTGTTAAAATAAATTCTAACATATCTTAAAATTTAATTTATATCAAAAACCAACCAATCACATTTCTTATGTAATTAATTCAAGTATTTATAAACAGGACAATTTATGTGTAATTTTTATTTTAAAAATTAATTTTTGTGATTACTGTGTGTCAAACCACTACTACTCAAAATCAGCGTTTTAATTCGGATCTTGTCTACGTAGGTGCAACAATGCGCAACTTGCAGCAATGTATCAAAGAGCATAAATATACGATTAATAAGAAACTTGACAACATTGTGCTACCGGCTTACGCAACACAACACGACATTCAAGTCCATTGGGATCGGGCGGAAATAATTAAACCTATGACAAATTTATATACAATGAAATATCTGGAGAAATTAGAGATCTTTAAGGCACACAAGAAAACTGGTTGCATCAACCATAGAGATGCGGACTCTTTACCTACCACATGGCAATCCTTTTACAAGAATTAATGACTTTATTTATTTTTATTTTTGTTAAGGGATATTTTTTCGGATTAATTTATATTTTTTGTTTATTTTATCAACACAGCTACTTTTCCGTTATTTATATTTTAATTTTGTATTTACGTTCTTTTTTGTGTTTGATTTCATTCTATGTTATGGTAACTGAAGAAGATCGTTAAGAAACAATCAAAAATGTTTTTACATTATTAATTTTTATTAGCTGGATTATTAAAGGTGTGTTTTATTAGTAGTATATTTATCCAGTTTGTTTGTTATATAAGTATATTGATCAACAAAAAAGGTGTAGTGTTTTACCATGATAATGCCAAATTTCACACAAGTTTGGTAACTCATCAGAAACTGTTACAGCTTAGATGAGATGTGCTATCACACCAACCATATTTGCCAGATCATGCACCCTCAGATTATTACTTATTCTGGTCTATACAAAATTTTTTAAACTGTAAAATATTTACTTGAAATGAAAATGTCAAAAATCACTTGGATCAGTTCAAAGATTCAAACTTTTATGAACATGGAATCATGCTACTTCCAGAAACAATGGCAACAGATATTTGTCCAAAAGGGTCAATATATAATTCAATAAAATATTTATTTATTATAAAAATATTATTTTTTTTTTTTACGGAAAAACAAAATTACTTTCCGAACAACCCAATAATTGGAGTTCAAACCTGTTCAGATTAATGATTGCTTTGGATTGTTCTGAAAATTTTCTGATGTATTTTTTATATTAATATGGGTGTTTCTCAATATCCTGTAGTTAGATGAGCACATTGCATTATGTTAGAATCACTTACACCAGTTAGTTTTTTGAGAATTGACACTGTTCTTTTTTGTTGGGTGCCCCTAATTGTATTGTCATTTTTTTCATACAGCATTGAAGAGGGGTTGAAAACTTAAACCAACCTGAAATGCATTTGTAGTCCAATTTACAAAATAAAGTTGTTTCTAACCAGAAAGCTGAGAGATCGTCTACCAAACTTGTTTTTTGGATTAAAGAGATGTTATATATATAAATTAATCTTCACATATATTAAAATTTATTTTGCAACTATGCATATTTCAATGTATTTTATCAAAGAATTGGTGTATTTGGAAATCATTGATACTGATCTCAGATTATATGCAATAAATTTATTAATTTTTAATAGTCACTATTCATAATCATACTTTTAGAATTGTCATACTTTAATTGATATTAATGTGTAAACTGATTGTGTAAGTATTTATTACTATATAGAAATGAAAAATATTTTTTGATAAATGTAATATTTAAAGCAATTTAAATATAAATGATTTAATTTTATTGATTTTAGGAGCTGATACATTGCGCAACTATGAATTAGTTCTTCAACAAACTTTATACTTTAATCGCAAACCAGCCTATTATCTGAATCGTGGTTTCAAACTGGTTTGTTCTGAGCTGAATGGACGATTTGTTAGCAATGAATATTTGCAAACTGTAAGTACTATATTTTCAGTACTACTTATGCAATGTATATAAAGTATCAATTTGAACAGCTCACTTGCCAAATCAAATTAACTCCACAAAACAAAAGTATAAAATTTGATAATATAAATTATTTTTTAAACTTTAAATTTAAATAAACAGTGTAAAATGTACTTTTATATACCATTATATTAAAGCATGGTTTTAATTTAATGATATATATAATTAGTTATGCAGAAAATGTAAAAATATTAATGATTATATTAAGGATTTATAAATGGAGTTAATTGATTTGGCCTGTGACTGGCTCAATTAATGAATGTTTTCTATTCCTGTTCAAGTTTCATAATTGCTTTTCTGTTTCTGTAAATAGTACTGTTTAATGTCTATCTTTTGTACTTTAAATGGAAGGAAAGAAATTATTAGTTTTATTTTTGTATTTTTTGTTAATTTTTTTTAAAATCTAATACTAAAAAGTTACTTTTGTCTCACTAACTTACTAATATGAAATATTTGAGTAGAAGCAGACTTCTTGCAGAAAAATGAGATGGAGGGTACATTTGAAAGAGAACGTTCAGTACACAACCAAAAAAATCCAAAATATGTCATGTCCAAAAAATAAGCATAATCATCAATGAAGATTCCTCACTGTCATTCATCTCCTCCAGTGGCTTTTTTGAATTAGTATGGCTCAAGATTTTCCAGATTTACAATAGGTTCATAGGAAATGCACCTCAGTCCAATTTAACTAATCACAAATTGCTTTATTTTTCTCCAAAACTGATACCTGTACCTATCATTCCATTGATAGGAATCTAGGTACAGTCTGTAGAATGATTATCATCAGATGGAAAAGGAAAATGCAGAGAACCAGATAAATTCCAAGAAAATTGTGGAAGTAGACCAGAACTCCTAGTTTTTTTTTATAATTTTCATATGAATTTTTAGAGCCTAAATATTTTAGCTTCAATTTATCCTTCACTTTCTTCCTTTTTTTCATAATTCAGTCTTATATCCTAAGGAAATTGATTTTGTTGAAGACATTATGTCGTAATCTGTTTCTTACTTCTGTTTGTTACTATAGTAGTATGGAACAGATAATGATACAATGCAAATATATCATATGAGGGTAGGTTTTTTTTTAGCTCTGATGGTCCATAAAAAAAAAAAAAGACAAGTGTAAATAACAAAATGAATTTATTACCAAAAGTTAGGTACAAACATAGCTTTTGGTATAAATTCATTTTGTTATTTACACTTGTTTTTTTTTTTTTATGGACCATCGGAACTTGAAAAAAAAAAGCCTACTTAGTTTAGCAATTAATGTCTGAATGATTTACTCATTTTTACTGTTTATCAGAATTGTTAAGAGAACTGTACAGTCATTCTTCATTATAATTTAGTTATTTGTGTTCATCTTTAAAATTAATCATTAAAATAAAATATAGTGAAATAGTATCAATTGTTGCATTACTCCCATCTATTATAGTATGTGACTTGTGACCACTGCCAATTGACCTCCCAGGACGACTGTCCAAAAATTTTTTAGTTGCAATCTCACTTGCTCATCTTTTCTTTGGAAAATCAAAGATTTTATAACCCTTGATTTGCTTTGTGATTAATATTGATATGAAGATGAATAAAATGTTAATCTTAGATAATTTATGAATTTATTTGCAATATTAAATAGAACATGCTCAGCAAAATATTAAACAATAACCAAACACCTTTATCATTGCCAAGAAAGTTTATTTAAAACAAACATTTTCGACCTATTCCATAGGCCATTGTCAGATTGAAAATGGACAATTGGAAGATTTCGTTTCACACGATCAAATACAAATATTTAAAAAAAAAAAAAACTGGCAAAGGATTAAAAAATAATATACGTGTAATGTATAAAAATATATATAATAAAAACAAAGAATAAAATAAAAATAAACTCAGAAATACTACTAAATATAAGTAACAACTAATACGATTTAGAACAATAAAATTAACGTGTAAATTATGAGTTACTGGCGCACTTTTTAACAATATACTTCCAGGCTGATAAAAGGCCTTTCGTGTCCTTCGCATTTATACGTCTCTTCCAGTTTGCTCTTATAAATCTCTATTTTCTCAGCGGTTTTCGCTAATGTTGGGGAGCTCACTGGTTTGATAATGTTCGCTTTATTCCATTTAACTACCGAGCTTTGGGTCTGAGCCATCCGGGATAGTACTGTCGCGTTGAAACTTTTTCTGATGTTATACTTGTGCTTACACTCAAATTCCTTGTTGTAACACCGATATAATCTTTCCTAATCCCCAGCTGTGGGTTTTCATATGGTATCCTATGCACTCCTGCTTTTTCTTCCTTCCTAATGCTATCCTTGTCATTTCTTAAAATTTTATGTAGGTTCGGGGCTTTTTTTAGAATTATTGTTGACCCTTTGCAGTCTGCAATTTCTTTCATAATGCTTTTGGCATATCTGTTATAAGTGAATTTTATGATTTTACCAGGACATTGTTTTGAGCCCCTTGTTATGCTTTTCTTGCATCTTTTAACAATTCCTGTTGTTGTGTATTTTTTGTACCCTAAGGCTTCAGCTACTTGTAGAATTCTGTCAATTTCCTTTGCTCTGTCCATAACGTTGTCACAATATAGAAAGGCCCTTCTGATTAGAGCCCAGAATGCTGCCATCTTATAATAATATGGATCATTTGATTGCGAGGGGATATAAAGCAGACTGTGTGTTGGTTTAATGTAAACACTGGTAGATAAATGCTCTTTCTTGAATTGGATGTTGATGTCCAAAAAATGTATTATTACGGAACTTTTCTGTTCTAATTACAGTTTTAGGCCATCGTTTTTACAATTAATGCTTTCAATGTATTCATTTATCTTAGTTATTATTCCATAATATAAAGACGTCATCCACATATCTTTTAAAATATACTATATCTTTAAGGAAGTCATATAAAACTCTTTTCTACAGTTTTCTAACAACCAACTCACAAAGTATTCCTGAGATCAGACTTCCCATTGGATTTCCCCTTTTCTGTCTATATGTTTGACCATCATAGCTGAAGCTAGACTCATAGCAAATTAAGTTAGCCAGTTCCACTTTGCTGTGTAATGTATCAATTTAAGGACCTTGTTGAACAAGAATTCGAGTGGTGCTTCCTTGCATGAAAGAAATTGCAGACCGCAAAGGGTCAACAATAATTTTAAAAAGAGCCCCGAACCTACATAAAATTTTAAGAAATGACAAGGATAGCATTAGGAAGGAAGAAAAAGCAGGAGTGCATAGGATACCATATGAAAACCCACAGCTGGGGATTAGGAAAGATCATATCGGCGTTACAATGAGGAATTTGAGTGTAAGCACAAGTATANAAGATCATAATGCTGAAAAATTTGCTTCGTTTATTCTATTACACTTTCAACATGATGCTCTTCATCCTTATATAGTCTACGAAAAATCGCACTTTAATTGATATGAATTTCACAAGAGAAATTCAACTATATCAATTTCATATTATATATAATTTTGCAATAATGTTTCCAAATTATATAGCTTTGTTTAATGAACATTGTCAAACATATTGAATTTGACTATCATGCAGAAATCTTTGCTAATGGCATAAATATATGACAATTTATAATATACTTTGATTTTTTTAATTTATGGGTTTTTTCCCTCAAGCATATGCAATTTTTTCATGTTAAGTAATTGTAACTATTTCATTTTATTTTCAGGGTGGATTAAAAATACTCAACCATTATCTTGGGAAGAAAGTCCAAATCATATATTATCAGTTGTAGCTTATGATTGTGGTATGAAGATATCTAAACCAGTTACTGTGAATGTTAAAGTAAATCGCATTTGTCGAATTGGTTGGAAAGGTAATCTATGAATTTTTAATTTAGATGATGAAAAGAATAACAACAAATAATTTTGCTATTATTAAAGTTACTCTCTGATTGATGACTAAGTTGGTTCTTTCACAGCAAAATATTTACTTACTTTTGTTAGTATGGTGTGATGTGATATATAAAAATTTGTTTCCTGTTTAAGAATATTGAACACAATAAACTTTTAAGACTTGCATAATTTGAGGAATAGTTTTGTAATTTCAAGTTATTGTAGTATATGTAATGTTTGTAATTATAGTTACTACAATTATTTATTTACTATTTAAAAATTATATTTAATTTGTTATTTTATAATTTTTGTAGGTATTCATGAAAGAATTGAATACACACCAGGTTCTGGACGACGAGCATTATTTTCTGAAGCAGAATTGGAACTTTGTGATGTTCCTTGCAAACCAGAAAAATTATCCACTAAAGTCTCTTTAATCACTCATCATATAGGAAAAGGTTGTGATCGTGACACCTATTCAGTAGATTCACAAAGAAAATTGTGTGGTAAATTATATTAATATATGTATTATAAATAATAAATAAAAATATAGTTATTTAAAATTTATTTTTATTATATATATTAGGTGCAAGTTCAGATAGTGTTGATTTGCTTCCAAGTCCTGGAATTGGAGCAGAATGGACAAGAACTTTACCCATGGATGATGGACATGATAGTGATCAAATTTACGAATTTGATGGCGCTACCAATGCTGTTGTGGTTCCAGAAGTGACATTGAATCATAATTTAACAGATAATTTTACTGTTGCATTTTGGATGAAACATGAACCACCACAGGATCAAAATAATACTCATATTAAAGAGCATATCATTTGTAATGCTGATGATCACAGTACGTTAAATTTAAAAAATTAACTACTTATTCGTAAAATGTAGATATTTCATATTTAAATGATTTGAATATATTATTATTAAATTCTTTATCATTTTACAGAGATGAATAGGCATCATTATGCAATATTTATTCGAAATTGTCGGCTAATTTTATTGTTAAGAAGAGAATTTTATCAGGAAAGACCAAGTGTTTTTAGACCTGCTGAATGGCGTTGGAAACTAGCAGAAGTTTGTGATAACCAATGGCATCATTATGCTGTTAGTGTAAATTTCCCATCGGTGAGTGAATATAATACTATAATTATATTTTAAAATATTCACTGATATTAATCCAGAAAATAATTCATTTAAAAATATTTTTAAGAATTAAGTCAAAAGTATATAAAGACAAATCTATATACACTGGGAAATATAATGAAGATATTGTAATAGCATTAAATTCTGTTATGGCTAGGTAATAACATGTAATATAAAACCTATATAGCTATGTCTATTGATAACAAAGGAAATCTTGTTAAATGGTTAAAATACTATATTCAATCCTACAGTAATTTCAAGACAATAAAATGAAATTCATTACAGTGCATGAACTCTTATAACCAGATGTGAAATTGAATGATGAGAATAGATTAACTTACTACTTTTGGCATAATATGAAAATAGTCATTTTCTATCTTTAATTTTTGTAAAATTAAAATTTTGGTGAATAATAATTTATGTTCCATTGTTAAAAGCATGAAAGTATAATCTTTACATTTTACTACTGTTGCTCTAGTCATCTGTATAAAAAGTCAATTGTAAATAAAAATGCCAAAATTTTCATTAAATACAGGTGTATAAAAATTCAATTTATGCCATTTTGCTTTTACTAAACACCTACATTAGTATTTGTTCTCACTAACTGAAAGAAATCAAGACGATTTTTGCTTTTATGAGAAAGACAAAAAGCAAAAATAATATTTAATGTTTGTTTTGCTACAAGCTGTTTTAGAGATATTGAGCATCTCAGCATCAAGTGTGTGTGAGCATCTATGCTTTAATCTCAATTTATTTTGTGCATCTGTTAACAAGATATGTCCTAAGGTGCAAAAGGCCTGAGAGCTCATAAAGGTGTTACACTTGGCATGAAACTGGACATAATTAAGCATTTTGATTTGTGGTGAATGAAATAGAGACATTGTGCATGTGCTAATCTTGGCTAAACTTTTATTTTTGCTGTTTGCAAGCAGAGAGGGGGGAGGGATCTCGAAAACAGGTTGCTATTGGTTCTACTAGTAGCAAAGTAAGGGTGTCTAGCAATCTGAAAAATTTGGAAAATTCAGGTCTGGAAATGTTAGGGAAAGTAATGTAATTTTTAAGTCTGAATTTGCAGGAGAAGCTAACTTAACTTTATTTAAAAATGTACTGCTTTGAAACTAGTGAAGATCAACCTAGGTTATAAAGTAGTCTTGAAGTTGACATAGGACTACAGTCAAGTTATCAGTGAATAAGCATGAGAGTAGTATTTCCAAAGGGACTTGCATATCTTTCTATAAAGATTGCGAAAACTTTGTCAGAAATGAGTACAACTTTACCTTGGAGAAGAGTTCTTTCTGGCACAAGTTAGTCTTTTCTGTTAGTTTGTCATACTGGCCATTGCATTGGGTTATTAACAGTAAACAGATGGCAACAACCATAACATGAAGAGAGTTTACAAACTGTCATGTCTCCATAAACAATAAATAAGGTAAAAGTATTCAAGTCCAGAGACAGGCTGAATGAAGTTTACTTGAATTTGCTATACAGAAGAGAGTAGTTAAGCAATCTTTCAAAGTTTGTATGGAAAGTTATAATATTTTCATATGGAAATGCTTTTATGGAAGGGGGATTTAGCATAAACCAGGTTTTAATAGATGAAAATTGTCAGGAAAACTCCATGGTTGTTTTGCAAACAGTACAATGCCATTAGTAATGCAGGGGCTTTCTGAAGGGTGACATAATGAAGTTGACAGTTTTTTTCTACTGAAATGCTCTTGTTTTAAAAAGAAGAGCTGAAGCCACAAGCACTAAGATAGAAATTGAGGTAACTGCAAATAAAAGGGCAACTCATCAAATAAGAACTTCAGGAAGAGAGAGACTGAAAGCCAAGTCAGTGGTTTTTCCTGTCATTAGGTTAATGTCATATCAACCAGTCTTATCATCATCATTAAGCTAATTGCAAACTTCATTTGAAATATTTTAGTCTTTTCGAAGTCAAATTATAATCTTACATATCAGTATTGTAATTTAAGCAACAGATACAAATTATTGTTTTTAAATTTATCTTTATTTCTGGTGTCAATTTTAAGTTTTAATGAAATTCTAGTATTAAATACCAAGAGTGCTCACTTATTAATAGCAAGACAGCTTGATCTGTAAATTTATAAGTATTTTTATAAGCTGGAAATTTATCAAAAGTTACTTGGAAAATCTTGGAAAAGTCAAGAGAAATTCAGTCTGAATAATGCTAGACACCTTGCAAAGTAGTCTTTTAGTCTGCATTCATTATTGGATAAAATGGAAAGGTTTTTGTGTGAGTGGATTGAATAGATAAATAAAGCATGATGTTATCTTCATTCAGGAAGAAATATCCAGTCTTTTCAATAAACTGAAACTTAAAGAATGGATGATAGTGATGAAAGTATTGCAAAAGTGGAATTTAAATGTAGTCATGGATTATTTGATTTGTTTTTGAGACTAGGCAGTTTCTTGGCTTAAAGGTTACTTACTGGAGATAATGCTTGTGCATAGTTTCACCAACTACACTGTACTTGCATTTCTATTCTATATAGGTTGTATATTTATCATTTTTGCTTTTACTGTATGTTAGTATTATTTTAGGTTTGGTGTGTTGTTTGGTATGATTTAGTATGTTCATATTGGGTCTGGTAACACTCAAACTTTTTCCTTATAAATTAGCAATAACTGCTTCTTTGCTTTGTTAGTTTTGCTTATAGAATGTTTCATAGAAATTTTCTACTTTGAGATGTTGGGAAAAACCTGCATGCTTAATTCAAATTTCATTATTTTTTAGAGACTAACTATCCAAAAAACAGTATAATTAATTTTTTTTACTGTTTTGTAAGTTTTATAAATTCATTCTCAAAATGAATTTAATTGCTAGAGTTGATATTTTAATCACAGTCATGCAGAATACAATTCATAAATATAAAAAGATATATAGTATGTTGTATTCAAATTAAAAAGTAAAGCAAATTTTTTTCATATGTGAATAACAAGTTAATTTTAACTTTCAAAGAAATAAATTATTTTAAAAAATATCTTTTTAAGTACTTTATTTTATCTACTTGAATAAAAATTTATAGAAACTTTTTACTTCAGGCTGTTTTGTATATAGATGGACAAAAATTCAAGGGAAATACTAAAAATCCAGATATAGTTGATGATTGGCCTCTGCATCCTGCAAAGGGTATTAACACTACACTAGTAGTAGGAGCTTGCTGGCAAGGTTAGTATTTAAATTTATTATTCTGTTAAATTAACATTCCAAAGTTGGACTAAAAGTACATGTGCAAAAATAGAAAATATTCTTTTAATAAATTGAAATTTGTTTATAATTTATCTAAGAGAGTAAATGTATTATTTGTTTGTTCTATTTATTCTGAAAATATTTGAAATTATTTTTGCTTGAATTTGAGTGTTATTACAATACTATATTATTGTTTTAAATCCTGTGCTGAATAATTTTTAGATTTATTTAGGTTGTATTTATTAAATCTGAAAATTCAGTAACTAATGATACTGAAATGTTTGGAACAGTAAATTTATTTTAAATCTAAATATGTTTAATTAGTAAAATTATTATACAAAAAACATGACCCTATTAGATCACTGTACACTGTGCTTTAAGAACAAGATCTTCTGTGCATCATTTAAAAAGATGTATGGATCATCGAAATTAAATTCAGTTATATTATTCAGAAGTTTTTACTTGATGTAATTGTTTATATAAATTTTTTCATTTTCAGAGTGTTTAAATTAACATCTGTTCAAATGATAAACAATACAAAGTTAACATTATCATCATTAATGATAAAATTAATGTGTGTATGTGAGACTTTACAATAAAGAATGATTGCCCCTCTTACTGTAGAAGAGTTTGATGTTTGTGAATTATGTATTTATTTTGTAATGTTGCATTTGTTAATATAGTAATCTAATAGACAATATGCTTATGGTTTATACAATTATCATTTTTTTTTTTTCAGCATTGAGTAATAAACAAACATTTTTTGTAATTCTTTTGCTTCTCATGCTTTAAGGACATTTTTTTTCTTTCTAATGAAGCAATGTTAAAAATTTTATTCGCAATATATTCATTAATCTCTTATTAAATGTTTCTTTTAAAATCTAAAAATTAAAAATATAAAATTTTAGTGATCTTAGCCATTTTATAAAGCACTATAGCAAAATTGAAATTTACAATTTATAATAGTGAAATAATTATGAAAGAAAAATATTAATATAAAAAAAAAAAAATAGAAGAGATAG